CAAGTTAACAAAAAGAAAGGTCCCCAGTCCCAAGCTCCTTCCCTCCCATCTGTACACAGGGGTCCAAGCCAAGCCCTTAGTGTGGATGGGGAGGGGGGTAAGATGAGCCTCGGTGGATCCCAGAAGGGCTCTGGGCACAGGGAACTCTGCTGAGCAGTGACATTCTCCCTTGCCCTCTCCACCACACTCATCCTTGTGGGGAAGTCTGGCCCAACTATGGCAGCACCCGTGGCCCTGGCACCCCAGCTCAGGGGGACTGCTTCCCCTCTTCCCCAAGGAAGCCGGGGCCTCTACCTTTCTCATCACCCTCTCAGAGTTGGTCTGACTCTAAGGCTCTGACATCCTGGAGAGGGGGAGAGGGATGGGAAGGGAACAGCCCCAGGAATGAGCGGTGGGAAGGGAAGAGACCAGGCTGTGAGTCTCCTAGAGAGGACAAGGCCAGATCTATTCACATCTGAGCTCTGACACTGGATACACACCCTCCCACCCTCCAGGACACAGCCTGGCAGGAATCCGAGAAGGAGGGAGCAGAAGGATCTCGGGTTCAAAACCCAAGTACCCCCCATTCCGAGGGACCCAACTGGGGAGAGGAAGGGGAGAGACAGCCACGAAGGGAGGTTGAAAGGTTGGGTTGGGGGGTGGGGAGAGGCAGAGTCCGGGAGTCCAGGCATCCTCGGGCATCCCAGGCCTCGGCGGTACATCGGAGAAGGGCAGGATAGGCCCCCTGTTGGGGGAGGGGGACGACCTCACCCTCGCACACATTGAGGGGCCAAAGCTCCTGAGGACCAGGTCCGTTTCCCCTCCCCCCCCCCACAATATACATAAAATACACACACAGAGCTGGGCTGAAGCCAGAGGGGGCAGGCCAGGCTGCTGGGGGGAGGGGCTGGGACTAGAGACCACAGCATCTTCCCTCCCAGCCCTTCCCCAAGCCGCCAGGAGGGGAGGCAGCCCCCTTCCACATCTGGCCTGGAGCTCTAGGGCAGGGGCTGGGGGCCAGGACATCGCCCCTCGCCCATCCCCACAGCTGGGCCGTGGCCAGCGAGGACCAGACTGCTCCCTGCCTCCCCATTTGGGCTGATGTCAGGGGGGCGCGGCGGCGGCGGCGGCTGCCCCGGGGAATGTCGCGACCGACGACTGGGGAACGGGCGGCGGCGCCCACGTACCTGCTTCTCCTCCACTGCAGACCGAGGCCGGGGTCGGGTCCGGGTCCGAGGCGGCGACGAGGGGCAGGGATGGAGAGAAATAGACAGAGACACTGTGAGCGCCCAAGGAAGGCAGCGATGGAGGGGCCCAAGGAAGGATGAAGGCAGGGATGGAGGGATGGAGGGATGGAGGGGCGCAGGCAGGGATGGAGGCAGGGATGAAGGGCAGAGGAGCGGGGCTGGGACTCCGGCCTCACCTGGGTTCACCAGCTTGCTCTTGTAGCGGAGGCTGGTGCTCATGGCGGCGGCGGGGAGGGAAGGGGGCCCGGGCCGAGCCGGGAGCGGAGGGGAGCAGAGGGTGGCGGAGGGGAGCAGCGGCCGCGGAGGCTGCAGAGCCAAACAGACGGAGAGAGCGCTGGGCTGGGCGGCAGCCGACGGGGAGCCAGCTCCGCCGCCGCCCGCCCCAGCCAATCAGCAGGCCGCGCTCCAGCCCCGCCTGTCCGCTCCCCCCTACCAGCCCACGCCTAACCACGGTACCGCCCACGCGAGGCTCCCCCACGCCCCGCCTCCACGCGCGAGACACGCCCCGCAGCACCCGACCGTGCCCGGTGGGGCGTAAGGAGTTTGTCACCCAGACCGGCTGCGGTACGGCCCCTTTCCGGAGATTCCCGAGGCAGAATCTGCAGGCGGGGCCGGGGGCTGCCTCTGGAAATTCTCGCCCAGGGCCAGGCCACCACAATGATTCCTTCTCAGTGCAGGCAGGCTGGGCCTCAGTTTCCCTGTTTTTAAAAAGGATTCCAGCCCTTCGCAGCTTTAACATTCCCTGTTCTAAGGCCCCTCCCAGATCTGACAGTCCATGTTCTAAGGTCCCTGATAGCTTTACTCTTCTACCCATGGAGGAAACAGAGAATGGGCTGCTGGGCCAAGTACAGTGGTCCCTGGGTGGCCACGTGGCACTGGGGCATCTGTGGTGGTTCCTGCAGGGAGGGGCCCCCGCTGCCGCTGCTCCCCAGTAGAATATAAACCTCCTGAGGGCTTCCATTTGTGGTTTGTCTTTGTTTCCCCATCCCTAGTACAGGGCCTGCAAGAATCTAATTGACAATGTGATTCAAGCTTCAGCTGTGAACTCATTTAAGACAATATAGTGCGTTGATTACAGCTTGGATTTGGAGGTGGAGCTAGAAAGACCTGGGTTCAAATCCTGCCTGACACTTCCTACCAGTGTGACCTTGGTCAAGTCAATAACTCTTATTTCCTTATTTTAAAAATGAGGGCAATGATACCTGTAACACCTGCCCCACAGGGCTATAGTGAGGCTTCTCTGGTATGTCTGCAAAGCACTTTGTACGTCAGAAGTTGCTATGTAAATTTCAGTTATTACAATTCTTGCGATGGTGGGAATGGACTGAGTCAATCAGGTAAGTACCCATCTCCACTGAACCAATCAGAAGGGTCAACTGATGTGACAAAGGCCTGTACATCTCCAGATTGCAACTAGATACAAGAGGAAATGTCTGTTTTTGGAGAAGGGAAGGGATTTGGTTGCACTCTGTGGGATTATAAAATCAGTGAGCAGATTTGGAAGCCAAGATTCCAGAGTCTAGCAGCTTAGATGGCAAACCTCTAAGAAGGAATGTCTCTGGGAAAGAAAGGCCTTGGCGCTGACCCCAACCTTAGTCTCCTCCCTACCCCCGCCCCTTTGGAGAAGGACCTTATGAAGGCACTCGGAGAACCAGATGATTTCCATTTTTTCATCACTGCTCTAATCCTAGCAGCATCCCCCCCCCAACAGCAGAATTCACTATAAATGTCTTCCTCTGGAGCCCAAGATCAGACAGGATGTCACAGGCAAAGAGGACTTCCAGACTGTATAACCCATGCCTGAGGGGAGCAGCGTGAGGATTCCAGCAAAAGTACTTCTAGGATCTGGGTTACCTCTGTCATATGTGCTCTCTAAGCTGGTGCCCACTTTCCCCTTGGAAATGACTCATATGTGCTTGTGGGGGAGTGTATCGCAGACTTTTGGGGGAGGGTATTTCGTACCAACGATTCTTACCATATTTATTTTTTTCTTTTTTTAAATATATTTTATTTTTTCCAATTACATGTAAAAATAGTTTTCAACACTCATTTTTTAATGAGATTTTGAGTTCCAAATTTTTCTCCCTCCCTCTCCTTCCCCCTCCCCAAGACAACAAGCAAAATAGTTTATACAAGTGCAATCGCGTTAAACCTATTTCCACATTAGTCATGTTGTGAAAGAAGAAACAGAATAAAAGGGGAAAACCACAAAGTTAAAAAAAAGTGAAAATAGTATGCTTCTTATCATATTCCTTTAACAAACACCTCTTTCTAAAAGCTAATTATCTGGCTGACAGATTGATTATCAGCTGATAATCAGTGAAGGGAAGCACACTGATGGGGGCTTGTGATTAGAAAGATTAAGGGACTTGCCCAAAGTCACACAGATAGTGAGTGTCTTGAGGTTGGATTTGAACTCAGGTCTTCCTGACTTCGAGTCCAGCTCTTTACTCCTTGGGCCACGCTGCCTCAGCTGCTGGGGTCCCACCCTTGGAAGGCTCAGAGTAAACATGACATACTGAGAGCTGGGAATTCCTGCCCAGGTACAGGTTGGACTAGCTGACCCAGGAATTCCCTTCCACCTTGGAGATCCTGTGATTCGATGAACTGGACGGACAGGAAGTGCTCACCAGCCCTCCTTGTCAGCTTCGTACAATCCTGTTCTACTCACAATAATCAACCTTAATAGCAGCGCACATGTTGACTGCACTTTGCTTCTGCTATCTCCCTTGTTACATTGTCTCATGGGAATAATTATTATGTAACTTCATTGTTCCTAGGACCCGATATTTCATTAGTGCCAGTACTTCACCAGTGCAGAAAAGTACAAATGATTAATAGATTTTAGGATAGGGACTGGACTTATGGACTGTGATTTCACTGGCATAGGGAACTCCCAGGTGAGGAAACTCCCTCTACCAATTCAGGTAGCCACTTACAGTCTTAGAGAGTTGTGTAGATAAGCGGAGAATGGGGTCACATAGCCTTTGACAGAATGTGTCAGGGGTGGAATTTGAACCTAGGTCTTTGGGCTTCAAGGCCACCTCTCTGTCCAATACAACACCCTGCCTCTGTCCTTTGAACCTTGAAACAACCCTGTGAGGTAGGTACTACAGGTATGGTCATTATCATTTACAGATAAGGAAACTTGTAAGCAAAGTGACTTGCTCAGGGTCACACAGCTGGTAATGGTCAGTGGGACCTTAGGGGTTCCAGCATTCGATCGATCCCATTGTGGAGAGGATAAGCCTCTCCAGATGTCGATGTGGCCTGAGCAGGGCAGAGGGTGGCAGGGATGTAGTTTAGCGCAAGACAAGACAGGGAAGGCAAAAAGCCCCATGTCAGGGGCTGGGGCTATAAAGACAAAACAATGCCTGCCCTCAAGGAGCTTACATTCTACAGCCCAAGATCCCATGAGGCTTTCTGGCTGCGTTCTCACTTCTGCTCCTCTGATACCCCATTGGTTAGAATGCTGATCCCATCAGGACACTAACCACCTGTGTGCCCTTGGTCAAGTCCCTTTTCTTCTCTGGGCCTCAGTTTCTTTCTCTGTAGAACGAGGGGGGTGGACGGGACCTTGTGATTATCATCTTGGGGTTCAACTGCTGGGATGAGTTTGTCTCTATGTCTGGCCCATTGCTCACCTGTTAGAACTCAACAAGCATTTGTTGGGCACCTGCTGCATGCAAAGCACCAGCTGGATGTCAGAGAAGACACCAAGTTGAGGGGAGGCATGCTTGTTGGTTAGTGGGCTTAATTCTTTTCACTTCCCAGCCCTCAGTGATCTCTCCTGAGGAGGGGCCCTGGAATGACTCAGATCGACATCGGAGGATGAACAGGTGAAGGACCTGGGCCTGTTTCACCTTGCACAAGAATTGTGCCATCGCAGTCCCTGTCTCCAGCTATCAGAAGGGCTCTTAAGGAGGAGAGGGAATACACTCATCCTGCTTAGCTCCTGAAGGAAGGCCAGAGACTGGAGGGCAGAATTCCCTCTGCAGCATCTTCTGCTGAAATGTTCCTCCTCTTTTCTGAAGCCCACTCCACAGCTAAAATCCGGCGCCTCCTCAAGCCTTCCCACACAGGACAGAGCCTGGGTCTCTCCTTTGCCTTTATCACATCATATCGATACCACATGCCTGTGTGGACGTCAGAGCCTCCCTGTTAGAATGTAAGCTCCGCAAGGGTAGGAACTGCTAAGTTTTTTCAGCTTCATGTTCCCAGAACACATTCAGTCATGTCAGTCATGTCCGACTCTCTGTGACCCCACTGGGGCTTCCTTGGCAGAGATACTGGACTGGTTTGCCATCTTCTTCTCCAGCTCATTTGACAGATGAGGAAACTGAGGCAAATAGGGTTAAGTGACTTGCCCAGGATCATACAGCTAGTAAGTGTCTGAGGCTGGGTTTGAACTCAGGAAGATAAATCTTCCTGACTCCCAGCTCAGTGCTCTATCCACTGCCCCACCTATCTGCCCTAGCATACAATATGCACTTAATAGATGCAAACCACCAGATTGGATTTGTGGGGAGGCAGTATGAGGAAAGTCTTTCCAAGAACCAGAACTATTCAGTGGTAGAATAGGCTGCCATAGAAGGGGGTCCATTTCCCCATCACTGGAAGTATGCAAGCAGGGGCTATCCCTTGTCTGAGATATGATAGAAGGCACTGGAGCGCTAAGGTTGCTTCTGCTCTGCATCGCAGGAACCATCAGCTGCCTGCCGTTCTACTGGGAATGAGATCTCCCGAGAGGAGGGGGATGGTCAGAAGGGTGTCCCCATCCAGTATAGTCATCATTCTCAAAGAGAACATATGGTCTCTTTCTGTGAGAATCAGAGAATTGGAAGAAAGGAATCCATTGCTTCTACAACGATTCACATTAATTTGAGTGAATTTTTATTCATCCAAATTTTATTGATTACAATGAATATTAATTAAGTGCCTGCAGTAAGCAGGAAGCCATGTTACGGTAGTGCTGCTGGAGGAAGGGGAAATGACAGCTTTTAGAAAGACATAGTCCCTGCCTTCCAAAAGCTTCTGTTCTAAGATGTGGGAAACCCAAGCACCCGTAAGTATAAGACACAACACCCGAATTTTCCCTGTCAACTAGCCTCCACCTAGTGTCCTCCAGTGAAGGGAAGCTCTCTCCCTCCCAAGGCAACCCTCCTATCCCACTTAAGGAGATCTGTCATTATTAGGCAGTATTTTCTTACATACATACATTCTGATGGTTGTGTGATTTTATCCACATGGGTAACTCCCTCCATTGGCACAACCATGTACATCATCCCGTCCTGTAGGACTGTTAGCTTTGTGTTTCCACAGATCCATCACAGAGGGTTTGGGTCCACTCAACATCAGAGTGTGCTCTTCCTATCATTTCTCAATCTTGCCAACTCCTTTTCCAACCACTCATATCTTTGATACTCCTTACACGCTGGAAGTAGCCTAGGGTCGTAGGTAGGGCTGGTTTGGCATCAGGAAGACCTTGGTTCAAATCTCACGCCTGACCCTGGGCATTGAACATCCGTGTGTCTGAGGAGCTTCTCCAGGGAGTCATAACGGAGTTGTGAGCTGCTGGGAGGGAGCCCCCCACCCCATCATGTTGAGACAATCATGGATTCTTCCTACATTTTTGTCCCTCATACAACCTCCTACTCAAGGGTCATCACTGGAAAAATGTAGCCATCTGCTCAAACCCAACATGCAACCAACCCTCTGTTGCCCTTTGGACCCTGTAACTCTGACTCCTTGGAAGTCACCCATTCCAAGATTTATCATCAGACAACATGGCTTCATTGCATGTCCCCAAACAACAGGGAAAATGGTTGTGCGTGCGTGTGTGTGTGTGTGTGTGTGTGTGTTTGCTGAATGGGATTTTGCACAGTGTGTCACACTGCCTGAGTGCTTAACAAATGCTTGTTATTGACTGATAACGTTGGCTGATATTGCTGAGGAGTCCTAACAACATTCTGGGACTTGAGCAGTCACAGTACAGTACCATCTGTGAATGGGAGCACCAGGGAGACTTGGCCATATGATTCTTCTTTCAATTCCTATGTATCCCATACTCACTGTTCTTTGTACATATTTGTGTGCATGGCTCTCCTATTACATCGTAAGCTCCTTGAGGGCAGGAACTGTCTTTTGCCTCTTTGTTTCCCCAGAGCTTAGCACAGTGCCTGGCACATAGTAGCTGCTTAATAAATGTTTATTGAATTAAATTGAATATGTATCCATGTTGTCTCCCTTGGCTAGATTATAAACTCCTAGAGGGCAGGGACTGCCTTTTGCCTCTTTTTGTATCTCCAGAGCTTAGCACAGTGCCTGGCACACAGTAGGCACTTATGTTTATTGATTGATTGATGTAGAAATAAAACATACTCCAAGGCAGATACATTCAGCACACATGCACCTCTTTGTTTTAAGCTTCACATACTTTTAATAATCCAAGTGTTATTGAACCATTATCTCTGTGGTTGCATTTTTCAAAGAATCTCATCTGACCTCCTCCAACCACTTTCCACCATGGCTTCTCTTGGAATGCTGTGGCTCCATTGAGATTCAGGCCAAGCCTGATTTAGATTTCCTCTTGTTTCCCTTCTTTAAATGAGGCAACTCGGCTTACGATCTTCTTCCAGGTGGAAAGTTTAGAAAGAAATGGTCATTTCCCCATGAAACCTGTAGCCTAGGAGTTGTCTATAATATATACATTATCATAATCTCTAACTTAATAAAAGTTGTAATTGTAACACATAAAACTAGTTACCTCCACTAAGCAGCCTCTGCTTGAACATCTCTGGTGACAGGGGGATCATTACTTTTCAAGAAAGCCAATTCCACATTTGGACATCTCTAATTATTAGGTTGTTTTTCCTTACCCAAAGCCTAATTTTGACTTTTCTGCAGCTTGTATTTACCACTACCGGTCCTGCCCTCTGGGACCGACTAATCTTTCTTCTGATGACTTTTAGATACCTGAAAGCAGAGGTCACATCTAGAACCTCCCTTTCTCTAGGCTGGGCATCCTCATGTATCTGCTGTGGTTTCTGTAGGAAAAGCCACCCCCCCTTCCCGTTAAACCAGAGATTGTCTAACTTTCGAATCGTTATGGTCCCAAACCACAAAATTCACCATTTCATGCTACTCTGAGGTTAATTATGTCTACAAGATCGACCTGCCTGGCACAGACCTTTTACAGTCACAGCTGCACAGAGCCCATAAGCGGGCTCAAAGGACTCTTTGGGGTCGAGGTGGATTTGTAATCCTACGTGCCCATGTGTCTTTGACTCAGAAATTTCTACCTCCTTCTACCTCTAGTTTTGGCTACCCCCGCCCCCGCAATCCTCAAAGGCTACTCCATCCTCATCAGGAGTGTTTGTCTTTCCCTGGTCATCGATTTCATTTGCAAAGTCACTTTCCATCCCTTTGGAGTTAAAAGTCCCTCCTGTAAAGAAAGTTATGGTACTTCCACAAAAAATTTGTTATTCCAAGAAAAAAACCACATGTCAGTTCTGGGAAAATGAGTCAGCCAGCAAGCATTTAATAAATATTCCTTATTATAGGGGATAGCTCTCCAGAAGGGGGGAGAAGAGACACAGAGGGAAATTTAGGTGATATAAAAATGAAACACAAGCATCTATTAGGCACCAACTACATGTCAGGCATTGTGCTAAGTACTGGGGATACAAAGAAAGGCTAAAACTGTCCCTTCCTTCAAGGAGCTTACCCTCTAATGGGGGGAAGGGGTGACATACCATGTATAAATAGCAAGGTACATACAAGATATAAGCAGAGTAGATAGAAGTTGAGCACAGAGGGAAGGCAGTAGGAGAAGTTGGAGGGAGGAAGGGGAATAGTCAGAAGACTTGTGTTCAAATCTTGCCTCTCTGTGTGACTTTGGGCAAATCACTTAAGCTCTCTGGGCTTGGATCCAACGATCTCTAAAGTTTCTTCCTGCTCTGAATCTATGATCTTATGATCCTATGAACGAAGCCTCGAAGAGAGCTAGGAATTCAAAAGGGTGGAGATGAAGAAGGAGTGCGTTCCAGGCATGGAGGTGGGGGATGGGAGGCATGTCCAGGTAGGGATCAGCAAGTGGGGCGGTTTGTAGAATGTGTGTAGGTGAAAGGTCTGGAGAGAAAGACTCCAGTTTGTGAAGGGCTTTGGATGTCAAATAGAGGAGTTCGTGGTTTATTTTTTTCTAGAGATAAAAGTAACCACAGAATGTGTAGTTCGGGGAAGACATATGATCAAACTTGTTCTTTAGGAATTTCAGTGTGACAGCTGTGAGGACCATGGATTGGACTGGGAAAAGACCAGAGGCAGGGAAGTCAATGAAGGAGGCTATTGCAATAGTCCAGGGGAAAAGACCTGAACTCAATGGAGAGAAGGGGATGGCATGAGAGAGGTAAAGGTAAAATTGATGAGACTCGGGGGTGAGGGAGGGGAAGAAATCACGGATGACCCAGGTTTCAAATCTTGGTGACAGAAGACAGGTGGTATCCTCAACAATAAAAAATAAGCAAATTCAGAGGATTTAAGGGGGATGATGTTAGCTGGCATGTCGTTTTGGACACGGTGAGTCTGAGATACCTATCTGGCATCCTCTGAGGAGGGAGGAGTGCCAGATGTGTAGATTTGACAGATATTTGCATACATATGATCCCCAAGTCCACCCTAAGAGAGCATGTAGAGAAAGAAGAGGACCCAGGTCACAAAATGGGGCAATCAGATCATCTTGAAAACCTTTCCCTAACTTGACCCATGGTGAATCCTTTTAACTTTAGAGTATCCAACTCCCGCCCCCTTGTCCTACTGGTGATCACATCCTGCCAAGCCCCAACCAACCCTGACTACCTTCCGCCACTTATATGCTGCTGAAAGGAGTTAGGTAAATCACAAATCCGAGCTGACAAGGTTCACATGTTATTTAATCTCAACCAGGTTCTCACTCTAACAAGGCAGTCTCTTCCTCCCTGGTCCATTAACTACCTGACACTCCACAGCAGCTGTTCCAAACTTTCTAAACTCCCCTCAAATCTCCCCTCCTATAGCATCCTTCCACACCTCCCAAGCCTCTCAGCTGAAGACCTCATCTCCTAATTCCCCAAAGGAAAAACAAATTAGGCCATTTGCTAACATCTTCCATTCTCCCAATCTCACACTACCTAGACATCTTTCCACTGAATCCTCCTTCACTCCAGTCTTGGATGAAGAGGTAGCCCTTCTCTTTGTCAAGGCTAACTCCTCCCCTCCCGACATGCACCATTTTCCTCCCATTTTCCCCAGCAAATTGCCCCCATTTTATCTTCTCTTCATTCTCTCTTTCTACTGGATCCTGCCCTGATGCCTACAAATACATGCCCATATCTACCTCATTCTTTAAAATTCTTCATTTGATCCTATGATCCCTGCTAGCCATGATCCTCTAGCTTACTGCTCTTCGGTGGCTAAACTCTTTGAGAAAGCCATGGTGATCAGGGTCTCCATTACGTCTCTTCCTGCTTTAACCCCTCTGCAATCTAGCTTCTGGCCTCATCACTTTTTTTTTGCCTTTTTTTTTCTTTTTTGGTGAGGCAACTGGGGTTAAGTGACTTGCCAGAGTCACACAGCTAGTTAAGTGTCAAGTGTCTAAGGCCAGATTTGAATTCAGGTCCTCCTGACTCCAAGGCCAGAGCTCAATTCACTGTGCCACCTAGCTGCCCCTGGCCTCATCATCTGACTGAAATTGCTCTCCAAGGTTAACAATGATCGGATCTCTTTTTTCTACAGTCATTTCCAATGACTTTTTCTTAATCTTCATCCTTCTTGACCTTTCTGCGGCCTCTGACCCCATTGATCAATCTCCTCAGGGATTCTCTCTCCTTTCTTGCTGTCCCTTGGTTTTCCTCTCATCTGTCCAGACCCTTCTCCAGTCTCTTTGGCTGTTCCTTCATCCATGTGGATGTCCTTCAAGGCTCTGCGCTGGGCCCTTTTTTGGCCTCTATTTTGCTAGGTGCTCTCATCAGTTCCTATGGCTTCCACGACCATCTCTATGCAGATGATTTCCAGATCCATATATTCTCCCCCACCTTCTCTCCTGAGCTCTAGTCCTGCACTTTGTGGAATTCTCAAACTAGCTGTCTGATAGACATCTCAGGTGCAACATGCCCCAAAGAGAACTCATTATCTTTTCCCCTAAACCTTCCTCTCTTCTTAATTTCCCCATTACTGTCCAGCAATTGCTTACCAGTCTCTCTGCCCTCTGGTCTCTTTCCACTTTGATCCATGCCCCTCTCAGCTGTCAGGGTGATTTTTTTCTGACCACGTCAAGCTGACTCAAAGTCTTCCTGTGGCTCGACAACAGCCATCTCTGGCATTCGAAAACCTTCCCAAGCTGGGTTAGTGGACTTCCACCTTCCTCCTCGGTGCTCTTTGATCTGGTGACTCTGGCCCCCCTGCTGCCCCTTTCACATGCCGTTGTCTCATCTGTGGGTCTTCGCACTGGCTGCCTCCCATCGCGCCCTCGCCTCCCTCTGCCTCTGCGCTTCACCGACTTTCTTCAAGCTTCAGCTCAAACCCCACCTGTGCTCCACCACACAGCCTCTGCCTCTCTCCCAAGTGCCCCCTTCTACAGAAGCCTTCTCCTCTAAGCTCCTCAAGGACAGGTTCTGTTATACATTTTCTCTTTGTATCATCCTGCACATAGTAGGTGCTTAATAAAACTTGGTTGATGGATTCCCCCCGTTCTCCCCCTCCCAAAAAATGACTGCTAGTTTGTATTCCTGTCTGTGTGAATGCTGCGCCCTGTGCCTCTCTCTGGCAGAACGGAAGCTCACTGTTGGCAGGGGCTGTTTGTGGTTCTGTCTGCAGATTCCTAGCGCTTCCTCTGCACACTGAACAGTAAATGTTTCACCAAGGCTGGGTGAATTGAACCATGACCTCTGTTTTCTCGGGCTGTGGGGCTCCTCCTCCCCACCCCATCAGCAGCATGGAACCCTTGCCAGCACGGGTCCCCAAAGAGCTGGAGGTCTGCGTCGCCCAGCTTTACAAACGGAAAGGAAGCAGAGGGAGACAAAAGTAGCAGGCACACCACGTGAAACAGAAACTTTTTAATAAGGTTAAGTATATTCCATAAAATCAAATCACAAAACCCAGAAGGTGGGATTACACAGAAGGCTTTTAGGTCAGAGCACCATGGCATTGACATGGCACAGACATGTACTGCAGGCTACTGTGCAGAAGAATTCATTCAAGTACAGTCCTAGACCAGAAACCTAAATGAAGACATAAGAAGGCACGGAAGGCAAAAGAGGTACAGTGTTGGCTGGCCCTAAGCTCACACTATACACAAGAAGAGGGCCCCAAGTGCCCAGGGGCTGCAGGTGCTCTCAGGAAGCTGGTGTCCCCCCATGCCCACCCTGGGGGCTGAAGGGCTGGCTGGGCTTGTCTGGGGGGTTTCCTTTACATTACAGACTGACTGGCTTCCTGGTTCCCTCAGCAGTGATGCCCGGGCTTTGCCTGTTTCCACAGCTCAGGGGGGAGTGGGAGGAAGAGGAAATGGTGTAAGAGCAGATAGGATAGGCATGTGATTGATTAAGAAAAAGGTTCACTTAGGAGTGGGGAGGTCGGCTTAACTCAAACACAGCATGTCTCAAAATAAGCGTGTGGTCCATGGTGAGGTTTTTAAATGGTCTTCCGCACACAAGACCCCCCAGATGGTATCATTTCTCCTGCAGGTGGGCCTAGAAATCAATCAAGAGGGAGGGGCCCGGCCCTGGAGGATGTCCAGAAAAAAAGGTCCATGGGCTATGCATACTAGGCAGCTCTGTAGCACCTTTCCATTAAAGAGCTAGCTTACCAAGGGAGAAGGCATCCCTTGGGAAACACTCCCACGAGGAAGGGGTGGCTTAAGGCACTGAAGGGGGTTGGCCGAGGGGCCCGGGAGTGTTTGTACACAAGGCACTAGATGCTGCATTCTGAGTTAAGCTGCCTCGGTCACCATGACCCTGTGACGCCCCAAGCAAGAACACAGCACAGGTCGTGAAGCACATGGAAGGAAGCCACAGACGACCTCCTGGAAGGACAAGGTAGATATCCATGCAGATATCTATTCGTGTACATATACACATTTTACGTCAATTTGTTTGTGGAAAGACATCACAAGTGGAATTGTAAAAATATCTTCTGACAATACAGAGACGATCAGACTGGGCAGAAAACACATTTAACCAGGGAATGCCAATGAGGGTCATTAGCTGAAAACCAAGGCCCATTTTCCAGGGTGGCCCCTCCCCCTTTGGTACGAGCAGTGTCGGGGAGAGCGGGTTTTTTCCTATGATTTCGTACCATTGAGGTCATGAGCCTAGAGAAATAGCGACACATGATTTTATAGAAAAGAGGCGAACACCAGGAGGAAATGAGAAGCCCTTAGTAAAGAAAGCCTGACAAGTTAGCAAAAGGCAAAGAGCGAGAGTCTGGGCCAGTTACACTTTAGTACGTTTCTTTCTCGTTCTGGTTAAAGTAGCACAATGATGGAGCCGCATCTTCCTTGCAGATCAGGCAGGGTCCATGCCATCGTCCCGCAGGGCTCCGTAAGCAGACAAAGCTCCCATCAAAGCATCGCGATATCTGCAGGAAGAAGGGAAACAGAAGGCAAACACCGGTTAGGAAAGACAGCATCTCGTGGCGTGGCCCGTGCATCAAAGAGACGACGACTGGGAGGGGACCCAGGCTCGAGCTGCCTCAAGCAGACCTGGGGCCTCCACATGCAGGAGGCACTGACCCTGTCACTCTGTGGCACACAAGGATGGATGGTCTCGAGGGGGACTGGGGTCCCCTCCCCAGAGCTCTTCAGGGCTCTAGATGATGAATCACCCTTTTATGGGAAGACAACTCCGGCTCAGCCTTGGAGGTCCTTGCCAATGTGGGACTGGGATTCACCCAACAGACCCCCTAAAGCAGAGGAACAGCTCTGAGGGACTGAGGGACCACTGAGGAAGACAGGACAGACACCAAAGGGGGCATTGGGGGACATCAGAAGTTCACTAACACCCATGGGATCAAGGCTAAGCTCCCCCTCAACCTGCCCCTCTCTGGCCTCGTCCCCTCCCCCTTTCCCCCTCCCCAGAGAAGACTGGCTGGTCTAGTCACTGTCTCTCCAGTACACCAGTTCATTCTGCCCCTTCCCTGTGACCAGCCTCTGACTTGACCTCTGGCAGCCCTCCCCACCAGGCCAGGCCCCCGGCCTCCGCCTCCTCTAAGCTCTAACACCAGCTCTGACTCCTCTCTGTGCCCCACGAAGCTCGTTGCTGTAAAAAGTTCACCCTCCTGCCAGATCCCACCAGCCAAGGTGGCCCAGCTCCTCACCACCTTCTGCCCATCTGACTGGAGGGTGGAGCATGGGCTCCAATCCTTCATTTAAGGACTGGGCTCAGCTCAGAGCTCAGAGCTCTCCTCAGCTGGATGCACTACAACTGTGAGCTCCCTGAGGGCAGGAACCGTCTGTCTTGTCTGTATTTGTATCTCCAGTGCTCAGCACAGCACCTGGCACACAGCAGGCGCTTAATCAGTGCTTATCGACTACTGACACAAGGTACTACCTATGGCAGTCACCTGGTGCTAAAGTCCCTTTTGATGTTCATGTGTGAGTCTGTCCCCCCACCTCAAGGACAAGGGTCCCTGGAGGACACACCTGTCTCCCTCATACCACCTGGGCACCCTGTGAACCCAAAGTGGACAGCAGACACTTGTGGCCCAGCTGCCGTAAGAGTGGCTTCAAAGGAGAAAATCTGTGTGATGTGGGGCTGGGGGAGCCCCTTGGATCACCGGGGTGTGAAGGCTCCAGGGGGCAGCCCAAGCTCAGAAGGATTTGCTTCTTATCCAACTAAAGATTCTGTACTGAGTTAGAGAGGGGCTGCTCTGTGCCAGAGGAGGGAACGCCCACATATGACACATTGGTCAACAGTGGAGCTTCTGGGCAGGGGGTGGGGGTGGGAGAGAAGGAAAGAGGGGGAGGGGGACAGAGAGAGAGAAGAGAGAAGAGAGAAGGGGGAGGAAATGGGGAGGGGGAGAGAAAGAGAGCGGGGAGGGGGAAGGGGAGAAAAGAAGGGGAGAGAGAGAAGAGAGAAGGGGGAAGGGGGCAGGGGAGGAAGGAAGAGGAGAGAGAAAGGGGAGGGGGAGGAGGAGAGAGAGAGGAGAGAGAAGGGGGGAGATGGGGAGGAAAGAGAGGGAGTGGGGGGGGAGGAAAGAATGCAAGAGCTCAGTCCTGGGCCTGGCTCTGGGACCCTGGCCAACTCCATCTTCTGAAGCCTCAGTTTCCTCCTCTGAGAAATGGGGACAATGCAATACCACTGGCACTATTACAACTACCAAGTGATCTTCCTAACACACAGGGCTAATCATGATACTTCTCTACCCAATAAATTCCTCTATTGATAATGGGATCAAATATTATTTCATCTTTATGTTATCCTTTCAAAATTTATTTTTATTTGATTTTCTATAAAGGTACAGAATTGTCACACGCTCAGATGGGTCTGGGATCCCACTGATTCTAGAGCTCAACCCAAGACGGCAGCTCATAAGCCACCCATGCTAGCCCAGGAGAACATGTATGTGACAAGAAGCACCAGGTAACCTCTTTATTGAGGGTGCCTCTGCAAGCATTCTTGACAGGAGTGGGGGACCAAAAAGTGAGGCTGCCCCTGTGCCAGCTTCCCAGCAGTGCAGGCCCTCCCCAAACCAGCCCTTCTGAAGCGACATGCGGGGCTCCTTCCTCTCTGCCCCATGAACACCAGAGCAGAGGGTGCCCAGAGACAAGGCGAGGTTGGGATGTGCAGCAAAGAGAAGGATGCTCACTGACTGACTTGTTCAAAAGCGAAAGGTGGCCCCTGAGAACTCGGGCAGGATGGCACAGCGAGCCTGCCTCGGAGCTGACAACTCCCCCATCGTGCACTAAAGACAAACAAGACACGATTCCTCGTTGATTCCTCATTGAAAGCCGAGGAGCCAAAGGGAGAGACAGGCTGATGGGAAACACGCCGACCTAGAAATCTGCCCGCCTGGGCGACACAGTCTGGCGAAGTAGGATGAGCACCCCCTCGCGGTCTGGGGCCTCCTGTTGGTGGCTCCCTCCATCCGAGGTCCCCCAGACTCCTCACACGTGCGCCCCACCCACGACCTGGGCTTTGGAAAACGATGCCGGTAAAACCCAAGCTCTGGAAGCCTACCAAGGACCACAGACTGGGCTGCCCCACTAAGACAGAGCAGCTCATCGCCACAGGGGCAGAGGGGATGACAGGTTTGGCTGTGAGAACTCAAGAACATCGTTGTCCATGCCAGGGAGGTGCTGGGCAAAGGAAACCACAGACCCCTGGAGTCTGGGCGTGCTGGCTGCAGCTTGTCACTCACCCACTGACTCCTTCATTCACTCAACAAACACCTGCCAGGCCCTGCCCAAGGAGAAGAGCCTGTGGCAGGGTGGCGGGCACAGCCGGGTTGGGGGCCCATGGAGGGGTGGCAGGCACAGCTGGGTCAGGGGCCCAGAGGTGAAGCACAGCTGTCTGGGATTTAGTGAGACAAAGGGAAATAATTAAAGGCAGTGACAACACCATGGATTCACTGCATTCAACTCTCCATATTTAAAAACATTTCCTGCGCAGGCCTGTCTTTCTTTTGCCGCAGTCTGGCATGACTGGCACTGAGTTCACAAGATTATGACACTTAATTTTTAAATTCTTCATCATGAAAGCACGTACCCCATGGGATATTAAGTGTACCAGGAAAGGTCCTTTTGCCAGCTCAGTGGCACCATAGTGCCCAGAGTCAGATACTAACTAGCTGTGTGACCCTGGGCGACTCACTTACCCACTGCCTGCCTCAGTTTCTTCGTCTGTAAAATGGGAATACTAATAGCCCTTCCTTCTGAGGTTGAGGATCAAACGAGATTTATAAGGTGCTTAAAACACTATATAAATACTAGTTATTGTCATTATTGTTATTATCACTACTTTCCAAGTCTAGATTTTCAATGGGGTTTAGATGAGGAGTCTCCCAGGCCAGTGAAACACATTTATCTCAGTTTCAGGAAAATTTTAAAAGAAAAATAAGTTTCATTAGTATAAATCACTTTCCCCATCTTTAGGACTCCAGTCTTTATATTGTCTTGCCCATGAGAAGTTTCCTCTTCATAGAAATGGTGAGGAGCTTTTAATAAATCGGTCTTTCACTCTTCAGCAACGAAACATGTAAAACACAGCACAAAACCCATCGCTCAAGGTGGGGAAACCAATTTGGTTTCACGTGGTCAAGGCTGCACATCTGAATTAGCCAGTTTCTGTTGGCATGGCACCCCCATTTGTGACCATTCCTTTCACAGAATGAACCCATGTCAAAACCGGGTTGTCCCATTAAGTCCACAAACCACCCCACTGAGAGCCCTTGAGCTTGGGAGCCAGAGGAGACCATAGCTGGTGCGGTTATCAGCCATTCACCTCTTGGAGTGAATTAGTTGTTAAGTCACAGGACCAGACTTATGATCTGGAAGGGGCCTTAAGGCCTAAGTCACCTAGTCTGACCCTCTGATTTTACAGATGCCTAGAGAGGTGAAGTGACTTTGCCCAAGGACTTAGTAGTAGCAAGATTTGAACCCAGGTCTCGTGACTCCAAATCTAGTCCAGTTTCCCATGGACCAGAGTCTCCTTTATGCCTTGGAAAAGAATGAGACTCTGAGGTAAAGAGAGAATTCTTAATGATGATAATTTTAATAATTGCATTTCTAGAGCTCTTCACAGTTTGCAAAGCACTTTACAAACATGATCTAATTTGATCCTCACAATAACTGTGGGAGATAGGTGCTATTATGGTCCCCATTTCACAGATGAGGACACTGAAGCAGATGTGAGGTGATGTGCCCAGGGTCACAAGGTCAGTAAGTGTCTGAGGCCAGTGGCTGGATCTGAACCCGGGTCATCCTAACTTGGGATTGAGTGCTCTGGCCAGCTGCCTAGAGGATGAGGGTGACATATCAGAGTTGGGAGGAATGCCGCCTACTTTAACCCTTACTTATCCAGAAATCACCTGTCCAATGGCTGCACATGAAGCCTCAACCGATGGGATGAGGAGCAGGTGTGCCGTTTCTAATGGACGACCACTGGCACCCAGCTCAGGCAGGGCACCGTTACCATGGAGGACAGAGACTGGGACCAAGAGGAAGAGCTGGAGGAGGTCTGAGAAGAGGCGAGGGGGCTGGCACTGCCCCAGTGCCCAAGGCAGGGGAATGGGAGAGCCTGGCCTTCCTGCCCTTGAAGAGGGCCCAGGGAGCAGAGGAAAGAACCCTGGAGCTGGCATCAGAGGGCCTTGCCCACGGGGTCTGTTGCTCCTAGGACCAGGGCTTCCTCCCTCTGCCCCTTGGTCTTCTCCTGGCGAGATAAGGGGGCTGGACCCCACAACCTGCACAGTCCCTCTGAGCCCCAATTCCTATCTAGAGTACTCGGAGTGACCCTAGAAATACATGCCCTCTGAAGCCACTGCTGTGCCCAGACTCAGTCAACTGAGGGTTTGGACTGGGGAGCACCGACCCCCCATAATTTCTAATTTTCCAAAGCCTCGTGGGAGAAGCGGGCTAAGTC